GAATTAGTACTGCGGGTCGTGTGGTACGTTATCCTTATTGGGAGGGAGGGGGTTGGTTTTTATGGCGATATCACCCGTTACGCTCTGTTTACTCTGCATATTATTGTCGTTTGATCGCGATTTTATTGCTATTTTGTGGCACCTGCCAGCGTTAATTGTTACAGTAAGGTAGTGAATGCTTTCATCCTAATTAGCAAGGCATTTAGATGGTTGGTTAATTTATTCTGCAGTGAAATTTGGCAGTTCCCATTGCTATAGAAATGCATAGCATGAATGATCCTTTGAACTGAATCGCATTGATAGAATGTCAAGGGAAGCGCCACCAATTATGCGAAAACTTCTGATCGGTCAGCTAAGTCGTATTCAGTACGGTTTTACTACCACAAAGGAGGGAGTTCTGATTCATTATGTTCCATTTTTGCCCCGCCGTCGACTCCTATTCTCATTAGTTTGGCTTCAAGGATACGCTCTTGAAACCTCAAATCCGCAGTCTCCTGTTCCCCTTTTCTTACTGGATGATGGTACCGGCTCGATCTTGGTCACAATCCGTCCGGATATGGATCTACCTCCCATTGGTACTTATGTTTCAGTTGTTGGGGAACTCGAACAAGTACCTACTACCCCTCAAGATTCCCACGTCAGTCGCTCGCCCTCTTTGACCACCTATCGTTTGGCTGCTCGTACCCTCATGCGTCTCTCACTTATGGACAAGTACTTCATTGACGAAGATGTCACTCAAAAACGCGCCCCATCCTCGGCATACGCTGAACTTGCTTGGCCAATGGAAGTTATGGACATGAGCCAAATGTTCTTCACCCCTATTTAGCCTGCTTTTGTCACGCAACTTGTCGTTTCATTCATGTGTTTTGTTTTTTTTTTGAGTTTGATCGAAGCAGCCACTTCTGGTCGTGTTTGCTTGAGAATCGGTATTTCTGCCCAGAAGATTCGAAGACCAGTCCTCCTGGTGCAACTTTGTTGGAAGCTTAATCAGCGGTATTTCCATTGAGGAGCATTACTCTGTTTCATGTCGTCCGATGGGGATATTACAATGATCTAGGAGTTGAACTCGACTTTATCTGAGAACCTGCCGCTTCCTGACATCAAGGCTTTTGCAGTTGGGAAAGTGGAAGACGGTTCATTAAGCTATGGTAGGAACCCCAATCGTGAGGCATATAGTCTAGAAGCGACTTGTGCAATACCTTCATAGACAGCAGATGTTAAACCTCGTGACGGTTGGTTGGTTGTCAAGTTCCGTTCTACGTACAGCACATCAGAAAGGTTGTTTTGCCTTGGACAAAGCAAGGATAGGGAGGCTTGCAGCAACGATCAAATCACAAGGTCTATTTGCCCTTCTGTCATAATACGCACCAAAAACAATAGATGACTTTTCACATCAGCATTTCTTCTCTCAACACAAATACTAGGATACAGAAGTCAGCCAATTGTTCAGATAGCAGACGATTGCGGCACGACGTTCCATTAGCTGGATCGTTGGGTTGTCAAGCTGACCTGGAGATGGCCTGGGCGAAGTAGCCGCTGCGAAGTGAGTCAGATTGGAAGGACGATTAGTTGGGTGTCTAGAGGCCTCCCAGACCACTAGCACTGCATCCGCGATTTTGCAAAGATAGATCTGTCTGATCACTTGCTACCACTGTTCTTGGACAAGTGGCCGACGCTACGCTAGCCGGAGGCTCCCCTAGACCCTGTTAAATAATACCGTTTTAGAGCTCAGTTGATACCCATCACCTAAGATTGAGCTCGCTGTAGTGACTTGTAGGTGCAAAATTTGTCTCAGCCGTTTTTTTCCGAAGTTTTGTCTGCTGAATTCTATAGCAGTATTTGAAGCCACCAATAGCTAGGCACTGTGCTTGAAAAATCGTAGTTCGTTTAGATTAGGTTCAGGGAGAATATTCTTTTTTCTCATTATTTGTGTTCATTTGGGAAGGATGGTTGTGCTGAAACTGCCTAGTAGGCCTTTACGTCAATGTTTTAAGTGAAACAGAAGGGCGGCTTATTTTCGAGCGAATATTTCTATTCCACACCTTTGTTAACATGGCTTCCTTCCCTCATCTTCAAGGATGTCTTTCAAACACTGAATACTAACCTGCAAAGCAAATTATTTGAATAACCCAAAAGTCTAAAGGTTGTATTTGTCGTTCACCTTGGTACGCAGGTAGTCAGTTGCTTCGCGCACGGCTCGCAGCATTTGTCCGGAGAGATAACGCGTCAAATTTCTCTCGAAGTCTGGGCTGTTTTGGAGAGTAGCCAGAATGCGACGACCATAGTATCTGAAGGTCATAATGCGTTAGATGAGTTCTATGGATGCAATTCTGTGTAGCCCCTTTATTACTACTGAAAAATCGAAAGTAGCACCGAATAACTAATGCCAGCAGCAGCGTCATGGTCTGCAAATCCTGCGCTTCTCAAGCTAGTTATGATAATGCATGCAGCATTACAGCCTCTGAAAACGGCCATTCATTGCCATTTGAGTAAATGAGTAAAAAGAACTAGTAGGGAGGTCATTATGTACAACTTTAAAGCTCTGTAAATCAAACTGGATTGGTCCCTTCATGGTAGTGGTACAATCGAGTTGGAAGTAGTCATTTCATTCCTTTGGAAAGAATTGAATGCAGTCAGCAATAGCTTTAAAAGGAATGTCAACATCTTTACCATTGGTTGTCCTGAATAACGTCAGGATGAGTTGATTCACTACTTGAATTTACATAAATTTGCTATCAATTCATAGTCAAGCTCATGTTCTCCTTGAAAAATGCCTTTTTTATCCAAGTATGTGTGGTGTTATGGGTTTGTGGATTACCGAGTCTCCTGATTGCTATCCAGAAGGAACTTCCCTAATGCCACAATAACTCTCTCCGTGACAGCCTGAGAAGAGGCGCTGGTTATTGTAGTGGCAGAGGGGTTGGCGTTTGAAGCGGAGGTTGCACCACTACACACCGTAGTCAGTGATCCCCAGGAGGAGGAGGAGAGATTTCCACGCTGATTGGTTGTTTGGAGGACCCTACTGGGACCCATACTTTCAATGAGGTAACTAGCCTGAATAGCGCACTGCCTACGCACCGCTGCGTTCTTGTGTCTATTTTGAGGTAAAAGTAGGTTACAAGTTTTTGTCATCTCACTTTCGCACTTGGTGTGGCGATAAGTACGTGGTGTGACGTGACTTCAAGTGAAGGCTCCACACATTGCATTAGGCTCAAATGAACGTCACTTCTCTGCTTAAAGTGCTAGTTCAAATGGTCAAAGGCGAATCCACGTAGAACCGAGAGGTCGCTGAAATTTCCTCCACCTAGACGGAACAAAATCTATCGCACCACCAATGTTAGGGACGTGTCCAATGGAAGATTAAAAAAAAAATTGTAAACCAAGAGACAACCAGTTTCACCATGGCAAATTCCCAATCGGCCCTACACTTTGACAATCTATTTTATCTATTTGGGTTCATAAGAAGTGCCAACCAGTCAAACAATTTTGATGTCTACCCATCTTCCACAGGAGGGACAGTTGCCTCCATAAGGAGCCAGTACTTGGCAAGAAGAGACTGTATCTTCGCCTCCAAGAGGCACCTCCTACGTGTGACAGTTTAATTAACGTCTGATTGCTGCCTCGCAGCATGTGTGACACCATAAATTAGGCAACCAGACAGAGGCAGCATTCACTAACACATCCCCCTTTCACATCGCCCAGTCGCGGTCACTCATCTGCGCCAGGGACCACAACGACCAAAGTCTCTCTTCCACCTTTGAAGGGGTGGGGTGTTCTGCAGAGCTAAAGAGTGTTTCGTAAGGAACAACACTGCACACTCGAGTCATCAAATGCCATTCTTATTAGCACACTCTTCTATTAAGCGGATTCAGTGAGCTTTGCAGGCATCTTCTTCTCCCCAAAACGAAAAACTGATTCAGTCAAAGTCTTTCCAAATAATGAAGCAAAATCAAGGATTGCTTTTAGGCGAATTACATGCAAAACCATCCAAATTGTAGCAAAATTATAATAATGAAAACTGTGAGGTAAATAGGGAATTTTTTTTTCTCACCCTACATCTACCTTTATGGTATTGCGTTTCCTAGTGGAGTTTGTGAAGCGTTGCAGTGTAGTTCGAAAGCGCGGAGGACATACCCTAGTCCATGCTGGAAGAGAGCAATAAGAGCTCTGTTGAGGTTGACAGAACGAACAAGATCGCTAAGCGCAATTGCCACCTCTCCACGTAGAAAGGCTGCCGACGCCTCACCAGTCTTGACAAGGAGCACACGCACACAAGTGTCCACATGCGGATCGAGGAGGCGACCTAGGCCACGAAAGAGGTCAGCCATCGTCTTCACCGCTTGTCTGGAGACCTACAGGAGTGGAAACATTTCAGTGCTCCCCTTTTGCCTGTAATATAGGCTCACTTCCTTATCTCTTGTGTTGAGGCACGACAATCTTTTAATGAATTATTGCTGTTGAGGGGTGTGCCAGAAGGTGCCAGTCGTTTTGGCCAGTGGTAAATAGCCGATGGACTTGAATGCACCAAATGTGTCAACAATGCGTTTGTTGTGCAGTGAAAACAAAACGGAGTTGTTGGAAAGGCGCTTGGTTAGCATTGAGGATGGCCTCCGATGTGGATGAGTGAACTCACACAATGGATGCTTGAAGTTGTCATAACGACTGAGAAAAGTCGTCCATGGATGTGTGGTCAGCATGGTATTCAGAAATGAAGTTTTTGTTAAATCATTGTTGAAGTTTTTTTGTTGTAATTCATGTAATAGGCGGAAAGCCATCATGAGCAAAATTAAGGCCTGTTTGAACATACATTCTGTAAACGTGTTATTATTGTTGCCTTGGTATTCGAGAGTGGTGAGAAATGCAAAGTGGGACCATGAAGTACTACCTGGGAACGGAGGTTTCTGCATTCCGAGGTGACAGCATGAATGACTGTCGAATAGGTGTCGGGGGAGTTGGAAAAGGCAGTTGGATGCTTCAGAGCCAGTGAAGAGAGGCTCAGAAGACCATCTACTTTGTCCTCCCAGTCTGCGGAAGCTATTCGATTGAGGGCTGAAGTGACGTCTCTACATCTGCCACAGTCAGTCATGGAGGGGTGATTTTGGGAAAGGCGTGAGAGATGGTCTGGACTGTGGTGACGAACATTCCTTAAAAAATTGAGACCTCATCAGCCCATGACGTTTTGACAACAAACTTTGATTATAAAAAACTGTCGACAGGATGAGCACCGAATCACGGCTAAATGAAGAAGCATGAGAGCCAAGAGATAGGTAATTGAAGCTAAATTTTCTTGCTTCAGGTGATGCATTGCATCCCTTGAAACATCCGTGAAAAGTAGTCCAACTTTTATTCGTGATTGTATCGAATGTAAAGCCCGACAAAAAAAGAAGGTGCACACTTGCGATGAAGGCTTCCATCACGCGGAATAGAAGGCGGTCGTCTACTTGGCATCCCATGAGGAAGTCGTGGCGTCTGGGAGGGTGTCTGAGGACCACTTCTTGTTAGGCCAAGATCTTCCACACCTCCCTTCTTCCTACTCCCTTGAGAAGCTGCAACGGGAACGTTAAAAGCGACATCAGTGAAAAGCAAATGCACCATCGAGTAGCACTACAATTCCAAATAGAATCCTTCCCATGTTGCAGCAGATCACGTGTCAACGCCTGTCAAAGCGTGCAGCATAAATGTCCACGCTTGTAGGAAGGAAAACGCCTTTGTACATATACATTTAGCTCCACAATTTATGAAACAGAAATGCGTTAACTGAGTTGCCTACACTTTGATGTTGAGTAGAGAGGGGAGAGAAAGTTGTGTCCAGCTGCATGGTGGGACCAGGGGTGTCAAATACGATTACGACTTGGTCTCTAAAGATTAGCATTTTGTATCGAAGATGGCTGCGAAAGGGAAAGAAGTGCCTACAATCGCTAAATGCATAAAAAGGTAGACTTGAATTCCAAGTTCGTCTCTAACACCACATCAACGCCGTTCAAAGATAAGCTTGCATCAAGCGAGTTCAGAGGAGTAATTAAGACCACCTCATTCGTGTGATATAAGGCACAAGAAGTCTCGCCTCTTCACCCATTTTTTACACCTCCGTGACCGAAAATGGGAGGAATAGTCAACTTGTCTTTTATTATGACTAAAGAAGCCATTGGGATTGGACTTGTGTAAGGCCACTCTCCCATTCTTTGTTCCACTTGGAGTACTCATTTGAATAGGTAAGTATTCGTTTTACTTACAGAGAGATTTCGCATTGTTACCTTGCCTAGAACGATTCGACCTCCGAGCAAATCCTCGCGGTGCGTGGCCTTCGATGCCTGTCTCCATCATAGTGTCTTCATCGGCCTAGAATTTTAATTGACTTTAAAAAAAACTGACGCACTGTGTATAAATAGCTTTAGTTTCGTGGCCTTTCCTTCAGTGACAAATCACTTCGCACTGTCAAGCATGTGTAAGCGTTGGCTTAACTTTGGTCTTATCAATTGACCAGCTCTTATAACGAGGCACAGTTCGTGTTGCAATGGCAAGGAATGTAAAAGTTGTGGAATAGCGAACCACCTTTCCCTCAAAACTAGCCTTATAGACATGAATTGGAAAGTGAGTAAAACCGTACGCAACATTCTGGTGATCCAAGTAACTCTGCTCTTTGCTCCTTGGATATGGTAGCCGCGTTATGGACATCATCGCTGTCACTTCTTCGATCAGCACTTTGATATTCATCACAGCCTTTCTTGGTTGAGGTTCTCCTAAAATCGCCTAAGGGCGTATGATAGTTGAAGTGAAGAGGCAAGAGTAATCAAAGACGTACCAATCGGATGCATGCCTCTACCAACAACGTCAACTTGAGGCTGCTGGACATCGCAAGGTGGACTGGGAGGCATCACATTCTTGACCAGTTCATGTTGGCCTGCAACATATTGTCAATGATTGTCAGATCAACTCCCACACAACAAGGCCTTATGCGTAGGAGAGCACTTGGTTTTGCATGAAAGGCATGAACTTGGGTAAATTATTTTAGACAACACCGTGATATGGAAGCTTTCTTGGAGGCAGACGCTTTGCAATTGTGGCAAGGTCGAATAGAACCACTGGACAAGCCTTTACAAGACAATGGAAATGTGTTTCTGCAAAGTGAAGGAGTATAAAATCATCTCCTGGAGATTACAGCCTTTCCTGGCTTGCAACAAGTCTACTTGTTAGAAATAACCATTAAGTGAATCTTACTGAAGTAATTTTCAAAAAAAAGCTAATAATCTGGATTCATCATTCAGAGGTCAAAGTGTCGAAGGCAAGAGGCCTACTCTTCGCCGTCGAGCAACGTACATCCGCCTCCCCACCCATTCCCCTTTTCATCACCCATAGAATACATCCGGTCACGTGAGCAAAAGTACGCCTGAGCTGAAGACATGCCTCTTCCATTGCAACTCCGTTGTAATAGGCAATAAGATGGCCAAACTGCATCTTTTGTTCTGACCATGGTCTCACATCAAGCATTGTTCCAATGACACTCAAGTAAGAACCGAATTCAATCAATTGAACATGTGTAACAGGAAAAAAGGAGAGATCACAAGAGGAACAACTTCCCATCCAAAGTTGGTATTTGCTCAACCAAGTGTATGACAATGTAGACATATCGCCTTTCTGATTCGGGTAACGTAAAAAAGTAGACTTTATTCAGCCACCTTTAGAGGGGATAGGGAAGAAGCTAAGGTGAAACAGGACTAAGAGAAGGCATTGTCGTTTGGAGGCTGAATGAAAAGGTGTACCGTAATTTTCAAATCACCCGATAACCGTCTAAGCTTGGAGTTAATGTTATCCTGTAACAAGACGGAAGGAAATATTTTACTCACGCCGTTCCTCTTTAACCAACCAAAGCTGTTTACTTGTAGGTCTCATAGTGCATTGAAATGTGTTTTTTTTCTTTTTGGCCACCTTGTATAAAGTATTTGCCGATGATGGCACTTTAATTGCACGCACCTCGCAACGGTCCTGAATGCAAGTGGTGGAAGTGGATGGGTGAGTTGGATTTCCTGCTGCAGCCAGAGGGTTGATCAAATTTGGGGCTCTGATGATGCTGAGGTAAGCTGACTCTACTTGTCGACAGGCAAGAAGGCAGGATTGGCGGTGTGAGAAGGTATGGATTGCTTCCACGGCTGCATCTGAGGAAGACAAGGTAGTACTCAACCCTGGTTTTGTACAAAAATATCCACTTCCTTACTCACTTTGCTCCACACATTATTAATGAACTTCCTCAATGGGTAAGCCTAAACAGCAGTGTTATTGTCGTCACAAGTCATTTGATAGACACCTTTGGAGTTGCCTTAGTTTACCGTAAAGTGTTGTTTGATCTTTTGATACATCAAAATTAAAATTTAACCATTGAATGCCAACAGTTACTAACAGGTGAAAGGACTACTGCGTTGCCATGGCCACAGTCATTTATTTTGAGTAAGGGCCTCATTTTTACGATCTTTCACAAACTTCATTGTTACCACCAAACAACTGTGGTGCAGTCTCGACTCACAAAAAAAGAAAACAAAAAAAAAGAAAAACTAAACTGCTCACCGAAAAGCCACACAGAGAACCTGTTGTTAAGCCTACCACCCATGAGACAAGGTCAAGTTACAACCCTCTATGCAAGTAAGTAATACGGTGTTTTGATGAAACGACAAATAATAAATTTAGATGTCACAATCATACCTATTAAACGGTCGGCAAGTATTAGGGGAAGCAGCATCCAGTTGATCACTGAGACGCAAATTTGTTAAGTCCAAGTCGGCGTCCACTTGAAGGGATCGCCTTTGAGAGGCTTTTTGGTGAATACGCGAGACCTGTTTGAACCAACTAAACGCTAATGCCAATAACAAGTGAAGGAAATTTGAAAGCATTGCTACCTGCTTTTTCCCAAGCCTAGTCAATACAGGCACAAAGTTTGTAATGACCCATCTCAAAGCAGGTCATATATAAGGAGAGTTGACTATGACAAATGTGGTAACAATTGTGACCGGTTGTTCTCCTCATGGTAGTTTGTGCTTGGAAGACCAGTAAAAAATGCTCCTCATGTGCAAAAAAACAGGCGAAATTTTGCAAGATAACAAATTCAGCAAGAAGAATCATTTGGTATTCACCTCATGGGAACCGATTGTATTTATAAACTTGTTACTTCCGACCATGTAGCTATCAGACACCGATGGGAGAATGGAGAAGGAGCTTGAGATTACCCCTGCCGATGCTATTCCACCATCCACTCGCGACTCCGTTACTACAATTTCAAGAATTCTTCGTGAATTAGGCAAGAATGCTCTTATCTGTAGAGGTGATTATTGCATGATGCAAACGGAATCGTATGGCCTTAGCAAGGGAAAATTTTGCCTGAAGTGCAGGTCAAACTGAGGCTTACTTACAGAAAAGATGCTGCTGTGGTACATTTGCATGCACTGGGAAGTGCCAGTGTGTGTGTCTAATTGCTACTTGATGGTTTATGCTTCCTGAGACAGTGCCAACTAAAGTTGCAAGCAAAACTGGTAGTGTGTTTGGGACAGTGTGCATTAATAAAGGGGTGTGTAGTGTTGAGCCACGTGTCCACTCAGTTGTAAGAAAATTCAATGACAAGGGCATGTGGTTAGACGAAAGCGAACGAACCGGTGTGACAATCGATGGTGACAAGTGTTACGTAATTTATCACTGCAAAAGCTGTTTTCACAGTGAGAACGTTAACCCAAGTGTGTTTTAACACCGCGACAGCAACCATCCTAACTACCATTCAGACGGTGAAAGCTTATTCAAGCCACCTTTACCTCAGGCCCGAAAATCTGTCTCTGACGCCTTTAAAACTCGTCTTATGAGGAAGCAGGAAGTCAAAATGCGATCCTTTGAGATTAGTGACAAGTTCGCCTCCATGACGTGGGAACTGTTAACGTGCCATTAGTGAAAATGCAAGGGAATTCAAAACGTTCTGAGAATATTGTTGAATGCAAACCTCATTACCGTAATGCCTTGGTAATAATCCACTAATCCAAATGATACCTCCATCCCAGACCGCTAATATTCCTCACCAATTTTAACCGCTTAAACCTAACTGATATTGTTGTTGAAACGTTTTGGCACAAACATTTCCTGTGCACTAGCACCCGAAAAGTTTTTCACGACCTTGTGGGTCTCTCACAGATACTAAAGTGGCTGGATCGAAGGGTGGAAAAACCAGGATATGATGTAATCTTCAATGCTGCCTAAACTATGTGATGAATGGTTGCGTTTGAAAGTGTCAATCATTGCTAAAATTGATAGTAAGTGAGTGATGGACTGACCTGGACTGCCTTCACAGTAAGAAGCACGGGGAAGATTTAAACTACGCCGTAATTCTGTACGACTCCTACATTCGAGCGACTGCGTACTGGAGTTCTGGTTACTGACTGAACGTTCTGGAGACTAAAAAAAAATTTTGTGGGAAGTTTGGACAATAGAATGTCTTAGCGAGCAGACCATAACGCGTTATCAAGTTTGATTTCGTTACTGTGAGGTCTCATTCAGGACTGTGCATTATCAGCATTTTCCACGTAATGTGATAAAGTAGTATCACCAACACTCACCCGACCACTCGATTTATACTCATCGAAATTACTGCCCCGAATGGCGTTTGCCGCCGGAGGAAGGTTGTGAAAAGGAAAGGAACAACTTTCAGAAGACCCGTTAGCAGAACCGACCACTACGACACTGTCCCTGGGATCCCAAGGCAGACGCAGGTTCCCATGCATCCGTCCTGCACTTGGTTTACGACGTTCTAATGGCAATAAGAATAAAATGGTAAAGTTTAAAAACACAGTCCTTTTGAATGGAGACTAGGACCTCAAAACATCATCACCGTTCTTAAACTTTGACAACTTTTTGTCCATACATTTTAGCGAACTCTGCAGCAACATTAACATGATGCATACTTAGGGGTTCGCAACTAATTTCATGTGATGCAAGAACACACCGTAGGCACTTCAGCAATAACGAATGTGACCAACTTCTGAACACATCACGTACACACTAGCGATGCCAAGAAATCACCCATTGACCGGTACGTGCGTCTGCACTCATGCCCGGTTGGCCCAAGCCGCCATTGAGTGCGTGAACGATGATCCTGCTCAAGTTTCTAGAAGCTTCCATTTTCGCGAATGTACTAGTGCTCTTGCTCACGTCTGCTGATTGGCTGAGACCAAATTTGGACGCCCCTTAAGTGCACGGACAGCTGCTCTGAACTTAAGGCGAGTCAGCTGCTTGAATGGATAGACAGGAATCTGCCCCAAATGATCCTCTAATGGTGGCATTTAATGGCTGTCATTCCAGGTGTTAACCCAAGATTGCATAAAACGACTCCAGTAAAGCTGTTCCGGGGTGGATGATTTGTAAATGAAATGGGCGTAGGGAGGCAGACAGAGCTGAGCCTTAGTCAGTATGTTCAATTGGGGATGCATTCTTAAAATATTTACATTTTCTGCACATGGAACGCTTCCACTATAGTATGGATGAGATATCTGACATCTCGAAGGTTTTGTTATCTACGGGCCCTGTAGTGCTGAATGTGTGGTAGACGTTAGAAGTCGGTTGAATGCGATGAATTTGATTATTGCTGAAAAGTGAGATCATTGTGGTTATGATTCAAATAGCGACTTAATGGAGACGATTAGCATAGGCAGGAGTCAGTGTGACACCAGGTAAGAAGGAGTTTAAGTGAAGCGGATACATACCACGAATGGAAGATGGAGATTCGCAATTAACCTGTCCTGAAGATGACATCCCAACGGTGGAGTCCTCTGGAAATTGGCGAACAAGGCGAAATTGGCTATTGAGAGAGGGTAGGTGGCGTTGAAAGACAATAGAATGCAAGGACACCGCAGCTTGGTGGTTGGAGAACTCCTCTTGCCCTCCCTTCTTCGGCTCCCTTTTGGCGTTATTGTTGCTATTGGGGAGAGGCAACTGCAATTCCACCTGGTCGATTAAAGCATCACTATCTACCTTGACTGCCACTGCCAGACAATCGAGAGCCGAGCTACGCACCTAAAAGAGGGATCGCGAAGGCTACTATAGAGGATGATTCTCATCTCCAGGAATTCAGCTCAAGTTATCACCTGACTGTGAAGCAAACATCAATTTTCCTACTGAATACCCTTTGCATCCTATACCGTTACACTTAGCAGGACAAAAAATTGATACGGTGGACGTAATCCAAACAGCTCTTTCTACAAACCAAGCTAACTGGACTCCAAAAGTGAAGTAGAAGCCCCTTTCTCCACCCATTCCCTGGCCAGTATTCGCAGAATGCGTAGCACCTGTGCTACGGTAAGGAGACGGGAGATAATAACCACTCATTATCGATGTCTCTCACTCGCACTAAAAAAGGAGCTGTACTTTTTGGTTTGTCAGCTTACCAAAGTGGATCGAGTAAACAATCAAGTTGTTGTCAGATTCCAAAAATATTGCCACCCTTTACCAACAAGCATCAATGTTCAACGTCTCGTATCACCGCATTCGAACCTGCGTGTACGTGGCTAGGAGTTGCCTATTCAGCGCTAAACAAATCTTAATGCGGTCTGCCTAATCAGCCTTGCGAATTATACAAGACTCCCCAAAGCAGACAGCCATGGTCCAACATTTGGATAGAGGAATGGCCATAATTATCTTTATAAGGAAAATGGGAAGACGAAGAGGTAATACACTCTTCCTATTTTCATTTACATTTTGAATGCAATATTTAAGTAGGGTAGAGATGATCGATGAGTGATTATGACAGGAGTGCTAGAAAACTGCGCATGTACACGCTGTACAGACAACGTACGGTGGGGAGAGTAAAGCTTGACTTCTAAAAACACAGCAGAGTACCAAAGAAACGTAGTGTTCTAGTGATTACTTTGGCTGATAGATTGTATTAAGAGCAAAAAATTGTCTAAAAGACCGATTTGGTGGAGTTAGAAAACTATAAAATTCATTTAAGCATCAAAGCAATTGCATACTTTTATTTGTAGGACAATAAAATGCCATGAACAACTTAATTAGCAAAATGCCTTACCAGAAACAAGGGGAGCGCAAGTGTAACGTGCCTCAGTATGAAGAATGAACTTGGAAGAGAACTGAACAATAGGTACCAGAGTCTAACTTCCCTCTTGAAACCTGATTGGTCAATGCGGATGTGCACCTCAAGTACACCAGCATACCAACTACTATCGTCACACGTGTCTCGAAATGTCAGAGGTAAGTCACTATATGGGAGCACCAAACGCTATGATATCGTGCTAATTTTACCATTATGTTAACCTGTGACTTGACTGGTTAAAGAAGCATAAACTGTTGCCACAGTAACGTGGCTTGTCTTGAAGTAGCGTATTATGCAGAAGGCCAGAGAGGCTAGGCGACGGTAAATTACTCAGGAGGCGTACTGAATTCTTAGAATAAGCTTTCTTCGTTACGCAGGTACATAGATTGCTTGGGTCTAAAGCTAATCAATTTGATCTAAGGTGGTAAGACGGGGAGTAAATACTTGGGATCTTTGGCAATACAACACTAGAATTTATCACAAGGTCCGGAGGAGTTCCATTTGGCCTTCTTTGCTTTGAAAGCCATTTTTGAAAAAAGAGAGGGCATTCTGTGAGCAAATCAACAGCTACGGTTACATCGATCCTTACGACATTGAAATTATTCCTTTCTGGATGTAAAATGCAAGTCTATTCTCCCCATCGCTTCAATGATTAAGAATAAAATTAACTTTGACCACTGTCTAAGGCCCTCAAAACAGGCCGCATTTCAGCATTTGACAACTATTGTGACATCAACTTATGCAGCTTCTTTAAACGCAAAGTAATGCTTATGTCACTGTGGCACTGGAAAAGACAAGTATACGATGCCTGGTCTTGGACGTTATAGGTCACGATGTAGCCGTGTTGGCCCATTTTTATCGTAGTGGGTGTGGCCGAAAACAAGTTATGTAAAGATTGTTACTTATAACTTTTCAGTAAAACGCTTAGCATGGAAAATAAGCACTTTCAGAAAAATGACCTTTAATTACAATTTCCATGTACACCGCTTATCCATTCCTTTACGCCATTCACGTGTTTTTTTTCATCTAGGGGTTCAATAAACGATGCTAGACATTCATTGCAATTGGCAAATAGACTCCGCTTATTAGTTACCCCATGTGGTGCCACCTCCATCAAAAAGGTTCTATGAAATGAATAATTGGGAAAGAAGAACACTTAGGACCAGGACTTTATATAGGTTCTGTTCCTTTTTAGCGTAGTCTGCATGTGATAGGAATACCTATGACTCTACAGATGTCACAGACTCAATGTATTCCGCTTAGTAAAATTTCCAAATGTGTCGTTTTGCGGGCTCAAACTAAACGCATTTAAAGATAACGCAGGGAGAATAAATATGGATGTAGGATGCTTACAATTGAAATTGTTTTTCCATTTGCAAATTAGCTCTATCCACCCCTGCTTTTTAATGAAGTCATTCGAGAAGCAAGTGCAGCAAATGTGAATGGTGTCATGCTAATCCGACCCTTTCATAGTCTATGACCGATCAGTTTTCTTTTAGGGAGAGTTTATAAGTGCAACTAGCCATCACTCACTATGGATTTGGAATCTTTCAGTCCTGGAACAATCACGGAATCCACAATCTCCCTAAAGCTAAATTCCGAGGAAGGACAGAGTAAAAGTGCCGTTGTCACGCAGTCAATTGCTTCCTTCCGTAGTCTCGTCTTTACGGTGTCCAGGGTTCCCAAGTTGTCATCGTGACAACCAAGTATGAGCCCAGCGAAATCGTGGATAACCGACCTCGAACCTTTTGGGAGGCGCAATAGTTTTGCAACCAATTGGGAGCCCGCAGTTCGAATAAGCCGCTTGGGATCAGAGAGGGCGATTCGTAGGAAGTTTGTGGCAAGATGAAAGATCCAACAGTATCCATCACCAGATTGGCTACAAATGATAAATGCTTGTTGCGCAGGGGTAATTTAATCAAAGCGTTCCTCTTTCTATTTAAGTAGTACATCAATTTTACTTTCTGCTCATTCATGTTTAGGTCTTGAAGTCGGGGGGTAGTCTGTATGAAACTCTAGTAACATTTTTACTGTTTACAAATAAGTACCTTGAAATAAATGTTTTCAAAACCATTTTTCTCAATCTTCTTCTGATGGCGAAGAGTATAGAGAAGTCTAGTTTAACGTGAAGGAATCGCCTATTTAAAGTATTTAGTTTATATCACAGTTTTTAGTCATGAACAAAACTTCCACAGCTTTTGAATGAGCATTTGGACCAACTCCCCAACCGTGGTCATTCTGTCATCGCAAATTCACACCGAGGACAAATCCTTTACAGTCGGCTAGAGTGAATGACAAGCCTTATCGAGGGCTTCAATGTAGATGGACTAAGTCTATTCAAGTCAAGTTGTCAAATGGCATAAAAATGGTAATACCCCAACTTTACTCTGGAGATGACTCCAAAATTGTGCAAAATGAGTACGCATGCATAACTTTTGTCCGAATGTTGAATTTTCCAATCAAGTGTTCTGTACAGGTTTGAAAAGGATTTTTAGCCTGCCTTGAAACGTCTGAACATTTGTGTTTTTATTGAATACCGAAAAGAACACTTTAAATACGAACAGAAAGTATGGCATCGATATGAGTGTTTACCACCGTTGCCATGGTTCACACACACACACACGCACACAAAGAGAGGAAGAGAGTGCCAAATGCGGCATCATGAAGGCTCCTACTGTTACGATGGCAGGGTTATTCGGTGTCCGCATATGTAAAACCTAAATTCAATTCGAATGAGTGCTCCTTTTTAAATGAATACTGAAAAATTTGGATCAACTTTACGCCTTCGGAAAAAGTAGATTGTGTTTTGTTAAAACGTGTCATCACATTTGCGAAGTTAGAGGTATCATAAAGTACCTGACTTTAAAGTGCACAATTCATCGTAACTTTGTAGCAAAGGTCAAAGGCGAAAGGTGGTTTGAAGATGGGGAGTGACCTGTTTATTCACTCGGTTAACAAACAAAACGGATCCCGGTCCTGGCTTGAGCAATGTACGCGGGACAGCAAAGTATACACAAAGAACTGTTGAATATAATCCTTACTTATCTTACTCCTTTTTTAACAAAATGATAAATCGGACGTAGCCCTTCAAGGAGGATGTTGCATCCTTTTACCGAGCCTATGGTAAATAAAATGCGTATATCTTTGTGACCTATCATTGCCCGTACAATCGAAAAAGAAAACAAAATCATATTTGTTGCGCTTTCATATTGAGTGGTATAGAACTGATCTGGAGTTTAATTACAACTTCACAGGTAAACAATATTTAGTACTACCAGAATACTACTTAAGCAACTTTAGTACTATGGTTGGATTATGCGATTTATCAACTTACTTAATCAGCAGTGTATTCAAGTCCCTTTGAGAAATTTCTCTTGGTTTGGACCCAGCGATGGCAGAAATCAGGTTGGTGAATGAATTCAAACCCAGCAGTAGTAAAGTGAAATCCGAATCCATTACCAGCAGCTCCATAATGGCACACATTACTGTTACCTGAGGGGTCCGCACTAACAGCTTCTCGTCAATCTTTTCTTCCGCTGTAACCACTACCACAACGTCTCGTAAACACGACTCCATCCTCTGGGTAACGTTTGTGGCAACAGTGTGTGCCCACTTGCCGGTAAGATCTCCATTCGCAAGAGCATTAATGCTCTCAAATAGGTCTTCAGAAAGCAGAAAAGAAGTGCTCTCGAAGTCTGTTGAAAAGTGGTTCCATAAGAGACCTTCATCATCTTCGCTCTGCACCTTAGGTGATGTCATTAAAATTTTAGGTTGTCTCCTTTGCAGATTTTGTAGGATAACTTCTGAAATCGACGAGTCCAGACGCTGAAGTATAGTCCTTAAAAGATTTTCCTTATCAAAATCCAAAACTGTTTCAATGATACATGTAAATAGAGGTATATACAATTTTTTCGGTTGAGGATTACTGAAAGCTCGTTTAGGTAAAATTTTTAAGATATGATTACAAATGATTTTGGAGAGTTTAGAATTTTTTGAACAAAGACCGTGTAAAAGGAGGGTTTCAGAAAACGTCTTCAGAGCAACTGTCCCTTCTTCCTCGTCGTCATCTTCCAGAAGGTGGGCGGAGACTTCGAAAAAGGCTTCAATAGATGTAGTGATAAGGGATTGAAAGTAAGGATTCTCGATTTCATGAAGTAGGTGTAGGAGAATTTTTTCTAAATGTTCTCTGACAGATACAATCACTGCGGAAGTTAAATTTTTAGGAGGAGTGTGAATGATTAGTTGTAGGTCAGAGATTAATTGCTTGCAAGCAATGACATATTTTGATACATCTCGAGAGCTTCTATTAAGGTTTTCAAAGTGGAAATCAAAGGGGTGCACCCAGGATTTTTGGAGTGGAGAATTTGAAACCGGAATAACCTGTACGATGCTTAATTTCCCCCACTTCTCTTCATCCATTCACGACATTGCACAGTGACTGAATAAGAATCTTGATTTAGGGCAAACAGCTTAGTTTCTTCTCAATGACAATGTGGCATTTACACTTCTGAGCAACGACTTCTACAAGCAAGAAACAATTTAAAGAATACACCTTAAGGTGTCCGATAACTTGGCGTAATAAACAACACATAGTGCATAACTCGAGGTTTAAAAGTGAAGCATTAACGGCTACACATCATGCAAAAAGCAAGACCATAATAGCAATTCAAAAGGCGAAATTTTTGCACCTGGAAATGATCGTTCGAATAGTTACAGCTTAAATTGTATAATATAGAGGTCTGAAAGCGTTGGGGAACGTAAATATTATTACGATTTAAATGTCTTAAGCTAAAACACACGAATATAGTTAAGAAGCAAACCGCATCAGCTTTTGTCGTGGATGTGTACAGTGGTAACAGCCTTGAAATTCCTGTGAATATTTAAATCACTAATTATTTAAAAACAAATTTCCAAAATCAAGGAGATTAGACACCATTTTATAACGTGGTTAAAAGGTAAAATTTATTTTTGAGATTCATGCAGCAACGAAATACATAGGAGTCTTTCGCACTATTTCTATAAGTATCTTTTGTTCACACATATTTTAGTCAATCACGACCGTTCATTAAGGCCAAAAATGTATAAACGAGCTGTAAAAGTAATGATAGAACGTACAATCAAATGTGCTTTACCTAATGGGTGCAAAGCATCACGCACCGATTGAACAAGGTTAATGACAACGTCGCGACGCGTTGGATATTCCATCCGACCAAGACTGTACGACCACAAGATCACCTGTAATTGTTACCAAAGGCTTAGAAACCTGTCGCTGAACTTGTGAATCTTTGCGTGTATGACCACTCGTATGTCCAGCGATTACTTTAGCATTCGCCTTGCACTTGTACACGCGGTCTGGCCTTTGGGCCAAGCCAAAGCCAGTCCCGTCCTCTACTCACAGAATACATGCGTTCGGTCAGGCTTACTGTAATATATATAAGAATTGGATTGAAACTCAAATCTCGAACGCGAGGACCGTGAGGAATCCCTCTCCGGGTGATAGCGGATATTCGGCTCATCTGTACTCCTATCCCCGTTTTTCCTGTATCCAATGCCCAATAAACAGACTGCAACTAGCCCTCTCTTGAAGTTCGTGTTTCAAGAGCAGGAGGGTAGGCAGACAGTTCCTATACTTATTACCTTCCATTGCCTAATAAGAGGTCTCGATGTGCTGTGGCATAATGTAGGCATAAAGTCTTTGTTTCAATCGACCTTAATGTCCAGAGGCAGAACATAGAAGTGAACATTGTATTGGAGGTCCGCCTTCTACTACCCCATTTGGAGCCTCGGGACGCTACACTGGTGGCAGCGGAAAGCTAACCCGACATCTTTTTAACGACTTCTAGGTATAGGGTTGCTTTTGAAAGCGACATAGTGTGTGGGAAAATGTGTTGCCCAACAGACATCACTGTCTTACTGACATCCTACGTTCGCCTTGCTAAACTTTGCCAATTAGCCGACTGATTTCCGGAAAAGAACAGTACGGACAAACCGAAGAGCAGCGGATCGATCGGATGG